ATTATGCACCTCTAAAATTCCCTTCTGTTCCTTAGGAGTCAGTTATTCTCAAAGTCTCTGTAGAATTCGTTACCCACCAGTAGAGGAAAGGCTCCCATGGGGGCCTGAGTAATTTCTCACCCATCAAAGAACCTCAGAGTGTTAGGACTGCCTGAACAAAGTCCACAAGGCAATGTATGGCAGTCTCAGGGCTATGTTCCTTTGATTCTTTCATTTGTGTGTGTATGTGTGTGTGTGTGTGTGTGTGTGTGTGTGTGTGTGAGTTAGGGAGAAGCCAATAAAGATTTAAATAGATGGAGATAACTTGAGACGGTGGTTATCCCTCTTTCCCTTCTCTCATATCTCATAGTAGTCCTTTAAAGCCACAGTCACCTGCAATTTTAACCCTCAGGGTTATGTCTTCCCCTCCCCTCCCATCCCCTCTTCTTTTTTATTTGAGACAGAATCTTGCTCTGTCACTGGGGCTGGAGTGCAGTGGTGTGATCTTGGCTCACTGCAACCTCCACTTCCTGGGTTCAAGCGATTCTCCTGCCTCAGCCTCCCAAGTAGCTGGGACTACAGGCGTGTGCCACCACACCCAGCTAATTTTTTGTATTTTTAGTAGACAGAGGTTTCACCATGTTAGCCAGGATGGTCTCAATCTCCTGACCTTGTGATCTGCCTGCCTCGGCCTCCCAAAGTGTTGGGATTACAGGTGTGAGCCATCACGCCCAGCCCTCTTTGTTTTTTTGAGATGGAATTTCGCTCTTGTTGCCCAGGCTGGAGTGCAATGGTACAATCTCAGTTCACTGCAACTTCCGCCTCCCGGGTTCAAGCGATTCCCCTGCCTCAGCCTCCCAAGCAGTTGGGATTACAAGCATGTGCCAACATGCCTGGCTAATTTTTTGTATTTAGTAGAGACAAGGTTTCACCCTGTTGGTCAGGCTGCTCTCGAACTCCCTCAGAGTTATTTCTACTAACTATCATACTAACTATCATACATTTTCTGTTAGCCAAGAACATGTAAATACTGAATGGTCAGTGTTCGTGAGGTTTGCATTAGAGATAGGAGCACAAAGACACCTCTGCTGTAGTGTGGTCTGGGCAATTTGGGAAGAAAAGGAGGAACAGTGGTCAGAAACAAAAGACGGTGGTCGGATGTAGGGAACGGCAAGCCTGTCCATCAGGACAGAAAGAAGAAGAGCAAAGGCATATCCGAGTGCCGTGTGTGGCTCCAAAGTGCTGATCTCCATTTCTCTTAACAATTACGTCTCTCCAGAGTCAACACATGGCTCTTACATGTTTCTCAGTTTCCCACCCAGCCCCTGACTGCCCCTGTGCCACGTATGTTAGGTAGGTGAGGCTTAAGAAGGAGATCATCCTCCACTCACAGTGGCGGGTACAGAAATGTGTTCCTGGCATCCCGCACAGAAGTCAGTGGACAGCCGTTCTTTAAGAATGCAAGGAACTGATGGGCTCTGCTGGCCTAGGTCTGGGATCCTAAGCACCACAAATGAATGCTGTTATGTGCATTCCCCCACAACTTTGGGACTGCCCAGTGCACCAAATGCTCTGCAAAAAGCAGGCCTTGCTTCAGAGTATTCAGAATTGCAATGCTGTGATTCTCTGCATCTTGGTTTGAGCTACCCCACGAGGACTAGGGGTACGCTTTCCCCTGGAGAGTGCCACCCACAGCATTTCAGAGAGGGGTGAGGGAGAAGTCTGTTATTGTTTTAGTGAAATGTATTGCTAAGAAATAAGTAGTAGCCACCAATACTTCCAATGATATAAATTCTCATAAATGGTATTTTTTTCAGTGCCTTTGTATGAAGCAAGACGCACAGTGGGGCAGGAAATGAGTCTCCCCCCAAGCTACCCCGCAAGTCATGGGTGGGTAGAAGTTTCAGGAGCAGGATTCTTCTGCTATTCTACTCTGCTATCGAATAGATGCCCAGACATTCACCCATTAGGTACCACTAATGGCTTTTTCATAAAGACCGCAATGATTGCCTCTCCCAGACTGAGAGTTTCCCTGGGGGGCAGGAGGTATCTGGCATAGTGGAGAGACTGGATAACTAGGCATGGTTCAGCCCAGAAACTCAGGAAGATAATTCAATCTGTTTTCACCTGTGTTGGGGGAAGCACATTGAAAATAACGGAAGCCCCTCTAACCTGACAGTGGATGGTATTCATAAAACCTGACAAATTATGGGGTTGTGAAAAGATGGAGAAGTTGTAGCTCCAGCTAAACAGCCCTTCCTTCTGGCTGGATACAGCAGCTAAAAGCAGAGAGGATTATGGGTTTCCTACAAGAAGAATACTTGCTAACTCAAGATACTTTGCTTCTTTCCGTAGTGAAAACACAGGGAGGGCAGTCACAAAAATCTGAGATGAAAGAGAGTTGCTCTTTTGCTTGATTCTCACATCCATTCCTCCAGGCTGCAACGGGCAGGAAATATGGTCAGGTGGATCCAGGGGCCGGGAACTTGCACACACCCCCAGGGCCGTGATGCCTGGGCCCAGGCAGAGGTGCTGTGGGAGGGGTCATTGAGACAGAGAGCTTGAGCCAGGCAGAGGAAATCAGACTCGACTTCAGGGGTTAAGAGTGACGCAAGGAGACAAAATGCTGCTTAATTCCCGATAGCCTATGAGGGGAAATGTTTTCTGCTCCTCATTTAAGTGGCCTCACTTGGTGGATTATATTCTGTTATTGGCCCCTCCAGCCCCTTCCACTTTTAGGAGAAGGATGTTTGTAAATTAGAAGCAACAGGAACAAGAAGGTCATCTGAAGAGCCCGAGGAGGATTAAACATAAGTACTTGTTATGTAATATTTGTAATTCCGTGCAATCAGCCTGTTCCTCTCCCCATAGGGAGCAAGGAGATCAGGACCTGGTGAAGTGTGAATCTTGGGGAGTAAGAGGAGGATAGGCCGAGAGAGTGAACTTTCTCCTGGTCATTCTTGAGGGTGTGCTCTTGGAGGCAAGGGTTAGACAAATGACAATTTCTGAGAGGATTGAAAGGATTTTATGCACCCTGCCTCATGCACTGGACAGCAGGCCTCTTATTACTTGAACTTCACATGGGGCAGCCTAGCGATTGAGCAACCGGGTTGAGTTGACAAGAGCTACTCAGCTTCACTTATGAATAGTAAGGCAACCCCATTATTAGTAGCTGCCATGTGCCAGACACTGGGTGTTTTATACAAGTAGTCTGAATTCATCCTCACACTTCCCTTTGCAATTGACATTGCAACTTCCACTTTCTAAATGAGGGAACTGAGATGAGCGGTCAAGTAACTTGATGTGATTCTAATTCAACGTCTGTCTGATCCAAAACATGTTTTTGCTGTTCATTTAAGTCAAGCAGAAAATTGTGGAGCTGTGCTAGAACCTGAGAGAAGCAAAAATGAGTTTCAATGTGTGGGGAGATTATTAATAGCAGACGTGAAAGCTCCAGCCTGTCCCCTGAAGAGGCAGGATAAATGTCCTAATTTTTGCATTCACAGTTAAATTGGACACATTCCCAGGTTGGAAGGAAGTGGCCAGATTGGGAAGGGGCTGTTGGAGAGGGTCAGTGAGAATGGTGGAAGCCAGTGTCTGCCTCTCATTCACTGCCTGCAGAGAACAAGGCACCCTGGTATATATTAGAGCATTCTAGATTTTTGGTTGCCTGGTGAAGAAAGTGAGAGGAGATAAAAGGCATGTGAAGTGTTGGAATTACAGTATCAGTGCTCTCTAATAAATACCTGGTGTGGCATGGAAGTGGCTCAAGCACACTCAAAGTGTCAATTAAATTCGGTGGAGGGAGAGAGGGCAGTGGAACAGTTTCAGGACGCACCCTAGGTCGGGGCATCCACACATCCATTCTGCCTAGGGTGTGAGTAACCTCAAGCCCTTTCCTTATGCCATCCCTCTGAGCCTGCACTGCTTTGCGACAGACAGTCTTAGGCATGACAAAGCTCTCCTTCTCTAGCCTACATAAATCAGAGTCGCCTCCCTCCCATGTATCCTTCACCCTTCCTTTATTTCCCAGGCTTTATGATCGTTGGGCTCCCTTCTCTTCTGCTGTCATTATGGCTGAAAGCTTTTGTTTATCCTGCACATTCTTAATCAGTGTTAGTTCCCAATCCTCCCACTCTGCGATTTATGCGTTTACCTGTCTTCTATATTGAGTCCTGAAGGATTGGAGTTTGTGTAAATGTCACGTACAAGGAAAAGGCGCATTTGCTGGTATCTCAAGCTGCATACTTTGAAAGCCCCCGGAACCGTCATACTGAGCTGTGGAAAATATGACCAGTGGCAGGCTTCCTGCCATGAGACACAGAGCTCTAAGGCTCACGTGTTTCAGACACTAGTCTGAAACGCTCAGTCAGGGGGTGACCTACCATTAAACTGTAATTAGGTTGTTATAGCTATTGAAAACCAAACATCATTGTAATAATAGAATTGTGTCTCTTACATTTTATATGTCACCCAGGATCAAATTAGTAGCCTATTCAGTATATGGGCATTGAGTAATAGCTGCTATTCTTCGGAAGGCGCTCACGTCTGTTAAAAGTGCTGGGTGAGCAGTGTGATGAAAGCGTGGGCATTTCCTAGTGGAAAATGGACATTTATATGACATTGTTGCATAGAAACCTGGAAATGATAAAGGCCTATTTTTTTGCAAACATAAGTCCTACTTTTAACCTCTAAAACACAAACAAAATAAAATATTAACCGTTATCATAGAATGTTCTGGTTCCTTTTTTGAAATAGAATGTATTAGAGAAATGAGTATGTGTATAGCTAAGAAGAAACTGAATTATGTTTACCTGTGGGTATGTATAACTGGATGAATAGGCACTTAAGCAAATCAGAACTAGGTTACGGGGGGTGTTTTCAGGAATTTGTGATTAGATTGTGCTGGTTTTTCGTGCAGCTCTTCCCCATTTTAGCAGATAGCCCACACGTGCGGGACAGCTGGGCTGTCTTATTGAATCTGACAGTAACCATTTTCGTCCCTTTGTTTTTCTTTTCAGAACTCTCTTTGCTCACGAGTTACCCCAAAGCGAGCCAGGATGTTGGTATTGCTGGCTGGTATCTTTGTGGTTCACATCGCCACTGTTATTATGCTATTTGTTTGCACCATTGCCAATGTGAGTAATGTTCTTTTGTTCTTTCGTTCATTGAGAAATCATTCACATATTTACATCAAGTGCACAAAAGAAGTTCAAGCCACAGCCCTCGCCCTTCATGAACTTACAGCTCAGTTGTGGGAAAACAAAATAAACCCACGCTTGCACTTCAAACAATTAAATAACAAGAGGATAAAGGTGAATGGAGGATACTGATAAAGGGCTGGAGGATACAGTGCACCTTCCTCCTTCTCTAGAGGAACCTGCCGGGCAGCAGGGGTGGGTGGAGCTTGAGGTGAACCCGGAGGACTGGTGGATGGATGAGGTTTCTCTTAGTGAAAGAGGGAAGGGGGAAACCTCATAGGGATGCATTCAGGTGGGAGTGCTAGCAAAGGAGCACAGAAAGGACAAGCTTTGGTCAGAGGATAAGGAAGACGCCTATGTGGCTGCAGCCCAACTTCCCGTCCTCCTGGGAGCCTTGATTGGAAGGATAGATGGGAAGAAGAGGATGACAGGCTTTGATTGCCAGATTGACGAATTCAAATTTTTAGCAAAGAGTAGCGTGTGAAAGTGGAGTTTTGCAAGATTAACCCGGTGCCACTCAATTATCTCAGAAAAAAACAAGAAAAAAAAAAAAAAAAAAAAAAATGGAGGTAGCACAAGTCTTTTCTCTCTGAAACCTGGGCTACCCTGACCTCTAGTGGTGGCTTATAGCGTCCAATTTACTTTTACTTGTGGTTTTCTCGGGGAAAAAAGCAAGCCGGCTCCTTGGACTAAAGCCAAGGCCACCCATCACTAGGCAGGCAAACAATGGTTTCAGAGCCTGTTTAGGTCCCTATCACAGGTAAAGGATAAGTGGGTTTTAAAGCTCAGATAGAAGAGCTTTGCAGACACTGGTGGGTGTGATCACAAGCAAGGCTAATTTAAGAATAACTTTGATGAGACAGCCATTCTGTATGCCACCTTTTATATCTATCCGGATAAATCTGATAAGCTTCTTCAAAGGGTATTAATGAGCGCCACAGTGCTGAGTATCTGTGAATTACCAGCCCCTAATATAAGGCTCGGCACACACACAGTTGTTAATTGAATGAAGAGCAGGGATTGGCGCAGGTGATTGCCTGTGTCTGGCCCCACCTTTCCAGGGTGTGCATTTGTGTGTGTAGACAGAACCCTGAACTTGTTTTCTATTCCAGAAGGAGAATTCTTTTTCTTGGGCCAGGCAGGAAGGGATGGCGGCACCATCATGAGCCTGGGGGATCTATTCGGGTCACCCTTCGGCTTTTAGCGGCCCCTACAGGAAAGCACTTGCTGTAGGATTTTACTATATTACTTTGCATGTTGTGACAGTCAAGTTTGATCCTTCTGTTTAGATGAAAGTGGTTTATTAACCACCAGATTCATTGTTATTTTCCCAGTAGGTCTTATGTTTCTTAATTGTTTCCAGTTGGACATTTCACTCCCCACCCGCCCCCCCACTCCAGTGTACACTTAGCCAGGGACTTAAGTGAAGCAATCTTGTTAGAGTGTATCAATTGCACATACCTAAGCCCTACCTAAGCCAATTCCCTCCTCCAGGGCTTCCAGAACCTTAGAATTTTAAACCACTGTGGTTGAATTACTTCCGTTTTGAATTACTTCCAGTCATGAAGAATATGGAGTCCAGAGAGGACTAGGCGATTTCTTTCTGAGTTTCACATTCTTCTCTCTCTCTCCTCTTAAAGAGAAGCCTATCTGGAGGTGGAAATAAGGTCCGATTAAAACTGGTCACAGGCTGCTTAGCCATAGTAGCTGAACAGAGTGTCTTCATTACAATTTGGTGCTGATGCAAGCTGATTTGTTCTTTCTTTATTTTTTTAAATCAGAAGGTCAGCTTTCGATCAATGTTTCTTTCCTTCTGGTTTCAGGTCTGGGTGGTTACCAATACTGGAGACATATCAGTAGGTCTTTGGAGAAACTGTACCCAGGGTAACTGCAATGGTGGCCTGTTGTATGAAAACGAAGGTATGCATGAAGATATTGACCCAGGGCTGACAATAGGTGTGGTCAGGAACGTTCAGCCCCTGGAGTGACATAACGCCCTGTTCTTGCCCTGTGCCTACAGATGCCCTCAAGACAGTGCAGGCCTTCATGATTCTCTCTATCATCTTCTCGGTCATCTCCCTCGTGGTCTTCGTGTTCCAGCTCTTCACCATGGAGAAAGGAAACCGGTTCTTCCTCTCGGGGGCCACCATGCTGGTGTGCTGTGAGTATCTCATGGGTGGACTCCAGTGTACACTTTTAAGTCCATCTTACCATCGGTGCTTCTGGCAACCTGAACAGATTAGCGCATGGTTCGGTGGAACTTCCTTGTGCAATTTTCTCCTCTGGTTATTTTTTCTCTCATGGAGAACCTTGAATTGCTGCTTGTATTAAGAATCCTCATCTGCTTCATCATTCAAAACCGGTGCTCCTGGGTAGCTGCCAAGTGGCAGCACATCCCTGTCAGCAGCACGTGTGTACGAGACACTTGAAGGCAGAAAGGCAGGAGTTGCAGAAAGATGAAACCACTGCCACAATGCACACAATTATTGTGATTCTCATTCAGTTGTCGTTCTTTCCCAATGTACTTGGTTTGGTGGAAGGACATGCTGTTTTGCATCCCTGAATAGCTTGCCTAGACCCACAGGGCCAGACAGGACCGCTGGATGGTAGGCATGAGGTTCTGTGTTTTACGTCACACTATGGCCACAGAAACCAGTGCAGAGATCCGAGACCAGACACCTCTAATTGATCAACACACCATCAAGCTCTTGGCCCAGGGCACATCTAACAGAACTCCTATTTAGGAACAAACAACCAAAGCTCATTTTCCTATTGCTAATGAGGGAAATAGGATCTTCTTAAAATTAGGAAAAGCTTTTTCTCAATTTTAATGTAAAAAAACATATTGACACATCTCCTTTTCCTCTGCAGGGCTGTGCATTCTGGTAGGAGCCTCCATCTACACTAACCGTTATGCAAATCGCTCCGTAGTCTTGTGGACGGAGAGTCACCACGGCTATTCCTTCATCCTGGCCTGGATCTGCTTCTGCTTCAGCTTCGTCATCGGCATTCTCTATCTGGTCCTGAGAAAGAAATAGGGCCAGACGGGTTCATGGGGATCTAGGAGGTGGGGAGGAGGAAGCCATTGAATCTGGGAGGGAAGTGGAGGTTGCTGTACAGGAGAAACCAAGACAGGGGAGGGGGGAGGGGGAAGGAAAGGGGGAAGGTCAAATCCCAAACCATTACCGGAGATTCTCCACTGCCAAGCCCCTGCCCTGGGGAGAAAGTAGTTGGCTAGTACTTTGATGCTCCCTTGATGGGGACCAGAGAGCCTCCCTTGCAGGCACCAGACTTGGCCTCCAGCTGTTCTCAGTGACACACACTGTCTGGGGCACCCATCAGCTGCCACACCACCAGCCCCACTTCCCAGGTGAATTCTGGGTCACACACTGAGGTCCACAGACCTACTGCACCGAGTTAAAATAGCGGTACAAGTTCTGGCAAGAGCAGATATTGTCTTTGTGCTGAATACGCTAAGCCTGGAAACCATCCTGCCCTTCTGACCCAAAGCAAAACATCGCGTTCCAATCTGAAGTTCCTAGAGGGGGACTTTGGCCAGCGAGCCATTGCCCCTCTTTGGAACAGATACTTAGCTCTGTGGAATTCAGTGTCAAAATGGGAGGAGGAGCGAGGGTTTGTAAGGTCACACTGGTGGGTGAGCTAAACCAAGAAGACCTTTTCACAATGGAAAACCTGGGGGATGGTTAGAGCCCAGTCCAGACCTCACACACGGCTGTCCCTCACGGAGACCTCATGCCATGGGCTTTGCTAGGCCTCTCGCTTAAAGCCAAGGCAGCTCTTCTGGAGTTTCTCTAAAGTCACTAGTGAACAATTCGGTGGTGAAAGTACCACACAAACTATTGGATCCAATGGGCAGTCTTGCAACAGTGCCATATTAGGGTTATGTTTTTAGGGTTCCCCTCAATGCAGTCAATGTTTCTTTTAAGTATACAACAGGAGAGAGATGGACATGGCTCCTTGGAGCGCGATCCTATTACTCTTCCTCTAACTTGTAAACTTTCGAGGACGTTTTGTCTAATTATTCATATCGAGAATCAGGGCTCCTAGGCTCGGTGGTAGCTCTGGCTTAGACACCATCTGGAGTGATCCCCTCTTGGGGATCCTGCCTATCCCACTTCACAGGTGAGGCATGGCAATTCTGGAAGCTGATCAAAACACGCATAAACCAAACCGAACAACAGGCCCTTGGGGGAAAGGTGCTATAGAATTGTGAAGTATTAAGCATACTATAGTTCAGCCGTGATAAGAACAGAGTGCCTGCATTCCCAGGAAAATAAGAAAATTCTATGAGATAAATAAAAATATAGGTGATGGGCAGATCTTTCCTTTAAAATAAAAAAGCAAAAACTCTTGTGGTACCTAGTCAGCCGGTAGAAGAGCGGTCTGCTGCCGCAGGAGCGCCTCTATGTAGGACTTAGAAGTAGTGTGTTTTTCCTGGTCACGCAGGCATCGCTCTGCCCTGGAGCAGCTATTTTAAGCTATCTCAGATTCTGTCTAACGGGGTTTTTTGGGAAGACTTTTCCTTTATCACCCTGAGAAGATCTACCCCAGCGAGAATCTGAGACATCTTGCCCACTTTTCCTTATTAGCCTTCTCCTCATCCATTTCTCTCATACCTTTCCTTTCTGGGGAGTTGTTATGCCATGATTTCTGGTATTTATGTAAGAGGATTATTACTAATTCCATTTCTCTATGTTTATTCTGGTTAAAGAAATGTTGAGGACAAGCCACCAAATTACCTGGGCTGGGGTTAGAGAGATTGGCCAGCAAAAACTGTGGGATGATGAACTTTGTCATTATGATTTAATTATTGCATGATTATAGAAGGCTGTCGTAGTGCAGAAGCATACTTACATATCAGACATAGCCAAAGGAAATACTCACATTTTGTTAAGAAGCTGAACTATGACTGGAGTAAACCATGTATTCCGTTGTCTTTTCCTTTTTTTTCTGTGACATTTATGTCTCATGTAATTCGCATTACCTTGGTGGGTTGTTCTAGTACTGTACTGGGCTTCTTCGTTAATAGATTATTTCATATACTATAATTGTAAATATTTTGATACAAATGTTTATAACTCTAGGGATATAAAAACAGATTCTGATTCCCTTCATTGTGTGAATGTTTTCTTTCCAAAAAATGTGGAAAAATATGGATAATTGTGACATTTATCCCTCATTAAGCTGCCTATCAATTTGATTTGGACAACTTGACATATATTTGAGACACTAAGCCTCTTTCTGTTAATATGTTAGGCATTCCTGCAATAGCTCTTTCAGGCAACTGAATGCTATTAAGCATAGTTTTATCTTGTTTTAATTAAACCTCTTAGGCAAAAAATGGAACTTCATAAGCTAATATATTAGAAAGAAGTTTTGATTATGATTTTAAACCAGAAATGCTTGTGACATTAAGACATTAACACTTGTAAAGTTTCTTTGAAATAGCCAGCTCCTCTAATGTGTCTTCAAAATATGAAGTGATTCACACACACATTTGTAGCAGCCCATTCATTACATAAACCAAGGCATACCTGTGTGGGCTCTGTGAGTGAAGGGTGGCTTCACTACTTTCTGTGAGCAATGAGGTATAAGGAGGGTTTTAATGTGCAGCAGGCCATCTTCCAGCCCGTTCTGGTCTTGGATGAAATCATCGCACAAAAATACACAATGGAGGTGGAAAGGTTTAACATATTTTGAATCAATTAATCAAATTGAATTGATTCTTGATGCCTTCTCAGAAGCCTAAATGATTTCTTGGATTGCTCTGAGAAACTACGATAAGAGGTCCACTTCCTTCACTTAGTTCCCCCAGGGATTTCTTTTCCCCCATGTCATACACCCGGTCCTAAATCAACTCCCCAGACTATCTTTCCATTCCTTCCCCAGAGGGGACTTTTGTCAGACTCTGCGACAAATTCCTAGCTCTACGCAGAGTGTCCTCTGCTGCTAAGATTGGTATCTTTCCCCTCAAAAGCCTGGATGGTGAATGGGGGTGAATTAGTCTGAATTCTCCAGAATAAGAGGAACAAGAAGATTTATGTGTGTGAGAATACATATATATATATATATAAATAAATAAAAATATATTTATTTTAAGGAATGGGCTCACATGGTTATGAAGGCAGGCAAGCCCCAAGTCTGCAGGAAGTGGCCCAGCAGAGAGCTGGTGCTTCAGCGCAGGTGTGAAAGTTGCCAGAGTCCCTTTTATAGAGAAGTTTAATACGTATTTGTTGAATTAAATGTCTTCGGTAGAGACAAACTGAATTAAAGTGGTTAAGTAAATACTCTTCGGTGAAATTTGTGCATATTATGAGTATAAAGAGAATGAGCTACAGAGCTCTCCATGACCACTCAAGAATGGGACCTCCCCAGGCAAATGATAACTTATTCATGCCTCAAGGTGACAAACTTGAGGTCTCAAATGGTTAACAGATAACGATCCCACTCTGCCTTGGACTTAGCCATGAAAATCCCACCAGCTTTCAGGCATGGAAAAGAATTTCAGAAAGGCCTTGAAAGAAGGCATATGAAGACAAAAAGGATATTGAGCAGGGCTCCATACTTGAACAAAAGAAGAAGCTCTCTTCGGTGTTGACTAAGAAATAGAATGTAACATATCCTGTACAGATGAAGTGTCCTAGCAAAAATGTTCAAGTGTATTTAAACAAGAGCTAGATTTTGGGGGGAACAGAAGGGAATAAGATAGGCTGGTGGGAGTCAGGATGAAAAGAAGATAACTTGTTGGAGATTTTGGAGTAGATCGTGAAGAGGGGTGACTCAGTTTAAAGATGTATTGTTCAGAGGTGAGCACGACTTTCAGAGCACACAGCAGGTAAGGAAAGATGTATGCTGACTGTGTGGAGCCCAAAGGAAAGGGGATTTTGGAGTCCCAAGTAGCCTTTTTTCTGAAAGGGAGACATGTGAAGCCTCCTCCTGAGGCAGGGAGGCTGGGGAGGCGAACATCAAGACCTATACTGATAAACAACTAGGGGCTAGGGGCTGCACCTACATGCTGGGGAAATAGAAAATGAAGCAGACATGTGTCCCATCTTCCTCCAGCTTTCAGTCTCGCTTGGAAACAAATCCCATACCTAGAGAAAATGGAGGCTTTGTGAGATGTAGATGAGGTGGGAGCATGAATGCCCATGAAAGGGAAGAAGAAAGATTTTCAGGTCTTCAGCTCTTCGTCACAACCCTATCTCATGCCATGAGCAATCGCGTGGCATCTGCTGTGGATCGGACCTCTGCTGCATTTCTTATCTGCCCACATTACTTTGTCCCAAATACCATTCCTTTGTTCCAGGGCCTCCTTGTCTTCCATCTGGGGAACTGGAGGTGAGAAGCATTATAATAGCCTCTCTGCCTTTATCTACAATCTCTCCAACATGTCCTTTATGCCAATGTCAGGATGGGCATTGATGGACACTTCTATTGCTGTCAGGGCAGGGAGGGCCAGAACACTGGCATAAGATGTCAATGTGTATATTCATATGTTAGGTCCACACTCAACTCAAGCTTCCAGTTAACTGCTGATTTATGCCACTCCAGTTCCTAAGAAGTTCCTCATCTCCATCTGAGACCACCTCAGGCTGGACTTAAGTGTCCACACCACAATCAGCATTTTGGTTTAAACCATTCAACAAGTCTCTGGGAAGCTCCAAACTTTCCCTCAACTTCCTGTTTTCTTCCAAGCCCTCCAAACTCTTCCAATCTCTGCCCATTACCCAGTTCCCAAGTCACTTCCACATTTTCAAGTATCTTTATGGCAGTGCCCTACTCCTGGCACCAATTTCCTCTATTAGTCTGTTTTCACACTGCTATAAAGACATACCCGAGACTGGGAATTTATAAAGAAAAGAGGTTTAATTGACAGCAAAGCTAAGAAAGTGAACCCTGATTCAAGAATGACTGTCTACACATGGCACACGACGGACTCTATGACATTCAGAGATGAAGTAAACAAGGGTGGGTAGGGGGGAAAACAGAGTTTTGAGCTCTTCACAGTACAAGAATGTGTTATTTCTAAGAGTCATTTTCTTAAATTGTTTGCTTGGAACTCAGTATATTTTTCCATAGGAAAAAGTCAGAACTATTTTATTTATGATATGGGCTAACAAGACTTCTGCAATCTAGCTTGGAAACTTAGTAATCATTAAACTTATTTTCAGGCCGGGCGCGATGGCTCATGCCTGTAATCCCAGCACTTTGGGAGGCCAAGGCAGGTGAATCATGAGGTCAGGAGTTCGAGACCAGCCTGGCCAGCAAGGTGAAACGCTGTCTCTGCTAAAGATTCAAAAAATGAGCAAGGCATGGTGGCACACTGCCTATAATCCCAGCTACTCGGGAGGCTGAGACAGGAGAATCACTCGAACCCAGGAGGCAGAGGTTGCAGTGAGCCAAGGTTGTGCCACTGCACTCCAGCCTGGGCGATGGAGCGAGACTCTGTCTCAAAAAACAAAACAAAACAAAAGAACAAAAACAAAAACAAAAACGTACTTTCAATGAGATACGACTGTTTAAATTCTAAAACCTAGAACCCTCTCTGGCCCTGCAAGCGCTTTAGGGAAAAAGGAGGATAAGATGGAAAGTGAATATGGATCCATATTCAGAAGACATGGCTGCATTAGGGCAAAGGACCAGCTTTTCACTGGCCATGCTCAGTGTTTGACATTGATGTGGGAGAACACGGCATTCGGTTTGACTCTGTCTGGATATATATAGTTTTGTAAATTGGGTGTTCTTAAGTCGAGACTGCATATTTCATTCCAAAATCAATCTTAGTTTTCCCACATGCATTAGGATATTGTATTAGTCCATTTTCACACTGCTGTAAAGATACACCCGAGACTGGGTAATTTATAAAGGAAAGAGGTTTAATTGACTCACAGTTCTGCATGGCTGGGAAGGCCTCAGGAAACTTACAATCATGGCGAAAGGGGAGGAGGTACATCTTACATGGTGACAGGTGAGAGAGAGCGTGTGCCAGAGAAAGGAAAACAGCCTTATAAAACCATACATTTTGTTAAGAACTCACTGTCACAAGAACAGTATAGGGAAACCAGATCCAATCACCTCCCACCGGGTCCCTCCCTCAACACCTGGGGATTTTGGGGATTACAATTCAAGATAAGATTTCAGTGGGGGCACAGCCAAATCATATCACAAATCAATGCTTAAATTGAGTTTACCTGGGAAGTTTGAATGATTCCAGCCCCTTAGTCATTTACAGGCTTTTAGGCATTATGAAATTGTACTATTTTTAATTTCATTTACCACTTTTCCTCTGTCTTATAAAAAGCTGACATCAAGCACATGTACTTATAATTTTTAAGGTGAATCAAAAGTAAACTTGTTTTGAGTATTTGGATACAGTTTTGCAATCGCTTTTGAGGTTACTAGGGTTGCACACTCAGGTTTGAGAATTACAGTAGTAGATTTATGAGTGAAATGGATTACACTAATTAATCTGACATTTAGTCACCTTGTTTTAAAAAAGCAAGGCAGTGTTCTGGCAGCGATATTGAACTCCAGATTTCTTTCCATTTACCAACTTATGAAATTCACTTCAATATTGCATACCAGAACTGACTACTAATTTCTTTCCCCAGAATAATTTAAATTCTTTATGTCTCATTGTATTTAGTACTTGTCAGAGCTCCTGGAAGGACAGATTAAAGACAAATGCAGACAATTATTCGTTGCCCAGTTTAGGTGCATCTCAGCCAGTCATTCTCTTGACCTTACCCTGGACCTCCCTATTCCCCAGAACCTCTGTTCCTAATTCAGAGGAACGTGCGTGGGTCCTAATTTCCGGAGCTAACACCGGCTACCACTATTTTTGAACTCCGTGCTCTTTCTTATTTTTGAGACAGAGCCTTGCTCTGTCACCTAGGCTGGAGGGCAGTGGCGCCATCTCCTCTCACTGAAACCTCCACCTCCTGAGTTCAAGGAATTCTCCTGCCTCAGCCTCTCAAGTAGTTGGGATTATAAGCGTGTGCCACCACATCTGGCTAAGTTTTGAATTTTTAGTAGAGACTGGGTTTCACCATGTTGGCCAGGCTGGTCTCCAACTTGTGACCTCAAGTGATCTGCCCACCTCAGCCTCCAAAAG